TTTTTTTATCCTCCCTACTGGCAAAAGAGAAACCAAGACCCAAACAATTGACTTTCCAAAACAGTACCATGTTTTACTCTAAATTGCAGCTGTAAATCTTGCCAGAATTACTGCTTAAGGTCACTTTTCTGTCAGTTTTATGAGCAATAGCAAAGGCATTTGGGTTGCTTCTCTGCAGTCTTTGCTTAAATTCAGCTCCTATTTGGAAAACGATTTAGTGCAACTGCTTTGCAGCTATTTGGTCTGTTTGTTTTTATCGAACCTCTAGACTGGGCAGAAACTGATGGTGTAAATTACGATGAAATCTTTCTTATCAGTAGTTAGTGAGCGAATGTGTTTTTTTGAGCCTCTACTGTTATTCCATGCAATACATTGTAAACTACATCTTGATTTTGTATGAAAGCCCTTTTTAGCTGCAGAGATGTGCAGATGCTTGTGTTCCAAGAACTCAGCTTTTAAATTAGAAACCCAGCAGCCTTGACTGAAAAAAAACCAACAAAACAAAACAAAACAAAAAACAAAAAAACTTTTCTTCTCTGTCGATATGGATGAAGAGAAGTTGAAGGTAAAAGCTACATTTTGTCACCATCCAGAATTGAGCAAAAGCTGATGCTCGAGGGAGGAGAGAAAAGAGTCGATGTATATAAGCAGAAGCTCATTTTACATCCCTGAGAACACCTGCCCTTCGAGTTTCCCAATAAATAACATCACTCAGTTGCTTAGCTGGTTGTTTCAATATCTCTGCTCCTGGGCATCTTGAATCATGAAAGAAATTAAATAATTAGTGGAAATTCTAAAAAGCATGCCTTTCTTTTTGCTCCCAGACAAAATATTCCGGCTTTGTAGGTAGATATGAAATGCCGTTCCTGTAAGACATATTTCAGTCTCATTTCAGCCTGTGTTTATGCAAGTTGTTGTATGAGAATGGATTCCTGTACCCATAAACACAATCTTCAATGCTCATTTTGATCCCAAGATGCCCATCTGTGTACATAACTTGTTGCAAGATTTAGTCCAAAATGCTCTTTATCCCAGATATTTGGCAAAAACAGTACCAGTGAAGGTGTGTGCCTTTGGAGATTTATTGGCGCTTGTTAACAGTTACAACTGCTGTATGGTTTCCCATTTGTGAATAAAACATTCCTACTGCCAGTAAAAATCTTTTTATGTTGCAAGTGGAAATGAAAAATCTCCTTAAAGATGTGCTTGAGTAGCAATACTGGGCTTTGCTGCTTAGTAGGTGGCATATTGTGTCTAAAGACCTAGGAACTGGCATCCTGTGAATTAATGTCTCCAGCAGACAGCTACTTTCCTGACAATGCAGTTGCACTAGACCAGGCTGAAAGTCATAGTCTGTTACAATTACTGGTTAATTTGGGGAAGAATCTGGATTTTTTTCCCTTTTTTGCCTTGTAGAGTGCTGCACTGAAGGAATCCCTGAGCTGAGTAGGTGTGTTCAGGAGGTTGTTTACATTTCTTGATATTAGCCTTTGAAATTATAATTGAATATCCTTGGCAAAAATAAACCTCAAATCTATTTATATTTCGCGCAATGACTTTCATCAGCTGCCAGGTAATGATGGGGGAATGTTTTCTGTGAAGGAGGGAGAGGAGGATCTGGCTGTGGTTTGGAAGGCTTTGACAGAAAATAAAACACTTCCAGGGGCGATTTTTGTTCCATCCTGGTTTGATATGGTTTAAAAAAAAAAGTTCCAAGGTGTGCTTTGCCGTCTACACCAGGTTGTTTGGATTCATAGGCCTTGTGAACTGTCTGAATAAGAGTCAAGAACACTGTATTTGGGTAGAAGATACCTAAGGAAGTATCTGGTTCACAGAAATTGTCCGTTAGGGCTGGACTGTGCCGTCCCAGCTCAGTGGGACTGAAGTGTGGTCCTCTGACACTGTCAGTTTTGAGCTCTTCATTCACCTCTTCGCTGAAAAATTGCCACTCCGATAGCAGAGCGGTACAGGGACAGCAAGGACCTGCAGCTTGGGGTGGCTTTGTCCTAACCCCCTGTAGATCAGTGTGGGAGAGCACACGGGGCAGAGCTTCCAGCAGACAAGAGGTTTCCTCTGCAAGAGCCTTTACCCCTTGCCACGTTGCAGCAGAAGTGACTGATGTTGGGGGTTGATCCTTTTTTTTTTTTTCCTGTAGCCACTGCTAAGGTTTGGGGAGTGTGAGGCTGACCCATCAAGTTAAAGTATTTTACAAATTTTGAGGAAAAGGACTGTATCTCTTCTTTTCTTGGCCTTTAGGGATTCTTGTTTTGAGGTTGGCATTGTAAAATAGTGAACGATAAAAACTTCCTGACAAGTTTCACCTGTGACTGTTGCCACCAGAATAAATTGAAACCAGCCAGATTTCCTAGGTGATCAGTCCCACCATGCCAGGGATTTTATGTAGCAAATATTACCTGACCAAAACCAAGAAGAGTTGTGTTCCTTCATTAAAATCAGAGAAACTTTTTCACAAAGCAAAACCTTTCAAATAATTTTCATCTTCCATGCTTACGCTTTCTTGACTTTGAAGAACAAGATGACCAGCAGTTGCCTTGGGGAAAGCTCCAATAAATGATTTCTTAAATGTGTCATTTCATAATGTGAACTGTCTCAAATTTATGTATTTATGTGTATTTCACAGCACATTTGGGTTACCTTATGCTGCTCTTCTAAATGTGTATATCGTGATATAGACAGAGAGATCTATATCGGTTTGTGTATGCATAACACTGCTGGGGATCACAAAAGCTGTACAGGTGTTTTTATCAATATTGTTCAGAGATGAATAACTTTGTTAGTATTTCTTCAAAATTCTTCATGCTGCAGCAGTCTAACCATCTAATTATCAAATCCCCTTCACAGAATGTCAGAAGAAAATTGTAATTCTGAAAACATTTCTTTTTAACAAGTTAGAACATGGTTAGACTTTTGGTGGCTTCTGCTTCTCTTACAAAAGTAAAGCATTTTTTCTTTTGTTATAACAACCTATCAAGCTCACAAACAGGGAGTCCTTTCAAGAACACGGCTCCTTTTTTTCTGACACTGCTGCAGTACGAGCATCTTCAGATGGTCAGTAGCTCCAGAAGCAGGAACTTTAAGGACATCAAATAATGTAAGAAGTGAAATATCAGATGCTGGCAAACCTGTCACACAGGCAAATGTAAGATTGATGTCCACATCCAATTATCTATACATAGATGTAAGACTATTCGATAAAAGAAGGCTTTCCATGAATTTGCAACTTTGCAGCCCTTCTTTGCAATGACGTATTGTAGAATACAATCACTGCATTAGGAATAATGGGAAATCACAAAAATTAGTTTACAGTGAAAAGCACAGAATGCTGATGGAGCATTGTTACGTGAAGGAAAACAAGAAATTACACCTCCTGTGTGAAGTCAGGAGGAAAAAAGGGGAGACAGGAGGAGGATGAAACACCTCCTCCTGATTCAAGAGGAGGCGATGAGCAGAGGTATTACTTTTGCTAAATTCTTCATACAAACTTCTAGACAAGCATAATTTTTTTTTTCAATATTGTAACTCTTAGATTGCAATATAGGTAAAAAGTTCATATCTCTCCTTCCTCCCCTAGATGACCCCAGGAAAACAGAAGGCTTCCTTCTCTCTTGGCTTACTGAGGTGTACAGAGATTGCTTCAGTGGATCTGCAAATGTGTCTTTGAGCCGGGCTTCTCTTATGCGTAATTTTGTGCCAGTCCTGTTTAATCTTTTTGACAAGGTTATCTTCCAGAAACCGGAATGTACATAACAGATTAAATCCACATTGCACGGCACATTTAGTTCACAGACAAAAAAACGTAGTAGGAGTTTTGTGGAAAAGGCAGTATTGTTTCTGTCCACTAAAACTTATTTTGGCCTTAAAATTCAATGTGTTTAATATTTTTTATGATTAGTTTAAAGCTGTGGCTTTGAAGAAGACTGATTTCATTTGATGGAGTACCTGGGCATTTTGTGCAGGCTTGAAGTATGATCTAAACATTGTCTTCACAGGTGTCCTGGGGCTTCTCATCGAAGGGTTGCTCTGGAGAGAAGGAAAACAAGCAAGCTGCAAGCAGAAACAGAGGGTGAGAGCGGTCCTGGTGGGATGGAGCAGCCTACCAGTTTATCTCCAGATGCAGATCAGGGAATAATGCCAGCTGAGCAGAGCTTCACCTCTCCTGCCCTTCCTGCATGGACAGACGAGCCCAGCATCGACAATCCACCTTTTGAGGAGAACCCAGTAGCAGACAGTATGTCATCACTTATCTTCTCAAGTCCCTTTTATCAGATGTGGAAACATTTGTCTCTTGCCAACTGTGAATGTGCATCTTCATTTTCTGCTCTTTTCTCTTGCAATTCCTCGAGAAATATTAGTGGGTTTTGGTTATATGCAAATATGCAACAGAGATAAAGTCACAGTTGAGAAGGAAAGAAATATCTCGGAGTGTGTGCTGGATATCATGATGCTGTATCATCATGGTGCAGAAGTTCATGTTAATCTACTAGTAGCACTGGCCTTGCAGCGAGTTGGAAGGAACGTACTTTCTATAAAATTACAAAAGTTGTTTTCTAAGACGAGATTTCTTTTCCGCTCTGCCCCCCTGCCTGGATCAGCAGCCTTCACACACACGGAGTGGTGTCCTGTTCGAGCGAAAAGGCAGCTGAGTAACTCCTGCACCCATCTGCACCGAATGAGCAGTAACATCTCTAGCATCTGGGATTTTAGAGAGGAAGCGCTGAGCCTTGCTGCAGAGGAGGGTGGTCCTGTCCCCTTCCTTCACCTGTGTAGTTGCCATCCTTTAGCATCCCCCTTTTTCCCCTTTAGTTGTCTCAATGTTTGCTTCAGAAATGGGCTCCTTCTCTTGATGTGGTAACTCAGTGGCAGTTCCTAGTGCAGTTGTGAGACCAGCTGACGAAGAGGCATGACTAAGTCGTGCACCGTAGGGTAACCCCCAAACCAAATTGTTGTTATCATCACCAAATGTGAACACAGGAATGACCAAATTGGAAATGAAGTGTATGAAATTTATTAAAAAGGTCAGGATCTAAAGGGTTCAGAATATCCTTTTCCAATCCAAATAACCCCATTTCAGGAAGCATGGATGCCACTAGGTCTTTAGAGAGCTGTTTCTAACGAGCTAGGTGTTCCAATGAGTAGTGGAACTAATCCAATTGCACTTGTTTACTTTGTTGTTAAACTGTTGTCGTGTGGCCGGTCTACATTGTCTTTTGGTGATTTGCTTTATTGAAAGTGAATGAGGTATATAGGGTATTAATCATCTTTCTTTTTATAAAATAATTGGCAGCAAATCAACAGCCACCTACCTTGCCTGAAGGAGAGATCACTACTATTGAAATCCATCGGTCCAATCCTTATATCGAATTAGGAATTAGCATAGTGGGTGGCAATGAAACGCCTTTGATCAACATTGTCATTCAGGAGGTTTATCGAGATGGGATCATTGCCAGAGATGGAAGACTTCTTGCTGGAGACCAAATACTGCAAGTATGGAACCTAATTACATATTCTGTCTGCTTGCTTTCTATTCACTCCTTGCAGAACTGCCTGTTAAATGACATGGGAGATTTGCCTTGTTGGACTATGGTATGTAAATGTTAGCTTTGCAATTATCAGTTGGATTAATATTCAGAGCAGAGCCTGTTGTTCCAGCACTTTTGGCTATGATGCTTTATGTTTGTCAGACCAGTCCCTGGAATTATTTTTCCTCCTTAGCATCTCTTATCAATGTTTAAAATATGAGTTTATTTTTCTGTTGTTAAATGCTGTGGGACTTGGTCTTTTATTTCAACTTTATGCATGCTTTCCAGAGGAATTCAAGGTTACTTCTGACTAACAAAGTCGCATGTAAAAAGCAATTTGTGGATTTTAAGGTTGACTTCATCTAAGCTGTTGTTTTAGTCTGGCTTCACTGTTACCTTCTGATAGCCTAGGCAGCTGACCTGCTTTTTTCCATATGTGTAAAAGAGTCAGTGACATTCTTCACTGGCATGATTTGAAGCAAGGCGGTCTAAATATTTTTGCAAAAAAATAAACAATTAAAATTTAAGTTGGTTATGATCAAGTGTGTATTTTTCTTATGGTTTTAAATAATTAACCACAGGCAGTGTAAAAAGATCAAGTTCTATTAATTTTGGAGTTTTAATTTATATTAGGGGAAGGGGTTGTTTATAAGACTCTTAAGAATGGCACTGAGTTCTACATAAACAAGACAGTCCTCCAGCTTTTTTCTATTTTTAATCATTCCACCTGAAACAAATATATGGCCGTCATTTCAAAATTACTTCTGTAACAATGTTTGCTTTTGATCTGGTGGCCAAAGATCAGTCCAAAGGTAGTGTCAGCCTTTTTTAATTTCACTTTTTTGAAATAGAGCAGATAGAGGTATCTTAAGTTCTGTACTTGCCCTTGGAATGAAATTAATTTGCACTTCACAAAATAAAGTCCCTTTTGAGAAACGTGCCTTTTTCCTCTCTTGGAATGTTAGCATAGTGGCTGGCCAAAAAAGCAACCCAAGAGGTTTCCAAAATGTTGCATTTTAACAAGCAATTGCAGACACCGATTGAATGCTGCCTAATTTATTTCAATACTCCAGGGGTCTCCTTGGTTGCCAGAATGGGGAGCTTGAGCTCCAGTGAAGCTTCGTAAATTCTTGCTGTTTGGGCAGGTGTCAATTACAGTTTCTAAAGCCATAAGTGGCAATAAATTGACTATAAATAGGATTTATAAGCTGCAGCGAGTCTTCCCTACCAGTGTGCTGGCACTGGGGCTGTCAGATGTGTGTCCATTGGAGCCCTCCTGTCATGCTGAGGGAGAGGTACAGGAGGTAAAAGCCAGACTTTTTGGAAAATACAATATCTTTATTGCTTTGAATTTACCTCTGCAGGTGCTGAGCTGCTGTATTAAAATGGCCGGGCTCGGTCTCTACCAGCTGTAATTAAGTCCGGAGTTAGATGCAGCTCAGCGTGCACACTTCAGGCAGATATTTCTGAAATTGTCTTCAAAGGCTTTTAGGAGCAGGAAAGGACTGAAAGAAAGCCAGAAAGAACTGCGAGGTGAAACTCAGCACTTTCTTGGCTAGTCAGACAAGAAGTATTACCCTTTCAAGATCTGAGGGAACAGCATTTAGTAACAGCTACATAAAAGCGTATGTTGTCTGCAAGGTATAGATAGGTGCCTAACATTTTCAAAGTGCTTTACAAATTGTCCCTTTTTTGTGCTGGACTGTGACTGTAACTCATGTAAAACATGTCCTAATGAGAATCTCTTTCCCCAAGAAATGCTAAGGCTGTTTTATTCTGAAGTTGTGAACTAGAAAGAATAATTACATTTTATTGCATATATTCTTCTGTGCCCTTTGAATGCTTTCATATTTTATGTATTTACTTTAGCTAGTGACAGCTAAAAATAAAGCTAAATTTAATTTAAGGGCTCTGATGGATGAACCGTGGTGGGTTTTGCTGGTGGCAGCTCTAAGTGTTATCTCTCCTAGCTATGCCTCTTTTCCCTCTGCCCAAGGTTACAGCCTGTCTCGAGGCAATAGCAGACCAGGACACGGCTGTGGTGCGGTGTGTGGGCTTGTGGTGCTGCCAGGAGCAGCAGCTTTGGGCTGGGCATCAGGCTGGAGGATGGAGGTGGCTCAGGAGGACTATCTCCCACTTTGCTTCTGGAGCAGCAGCTTCTTGCAGGATTAAGGGTGCCAGGGGGTACGGCTACCACTTCGCCATGCTGGAACTACCATGGCCAAATTGTTTGGCATTGACCTCTCGGAGACCCTCAATTCAGATGCATGATGTAAATGTGGCAGCTGTTGTATATAGATTTCTGGGTCCTTTCTCTTCCTATTTTTTTTTAAAGTGTGAATATTGCTATTAGATGGTGGGGAGCTGCAAATCTATATTTTTACTTACTTAGATTGCAATAGGGAGCATTAAAAGGCATAGGTAAGGCAGGTCAGTATAGTCCATTTGGTGTTAGTTCTGTCTGCTGAAATTATGGGGCAGGGGTTCCTCCATCAGGGCACGATAGTCCACGCTAAGGATTAAATTTTAGGATTAACTTTGAACCCCTTCTTACAGAATAAGGCAAATACAACTTTTGTGCTGGGTTTTGTGGTGCTCCTGTTTTCTGACAAGTCTCATTGCAGTTTATAGTGCAAGAAATGACTGAAGATTGCTGATCTTTGTATCAATGGGCCACATAACAGACATAATTCTTGTTTATAGGGAGGGAAAGTTTAATCTTGTTTTTCATTTACAACTGAATTTTGAGTGATACAGGTTGTAAGTCTGAAACTCTGACCTAGTTGAAGTCGGTGGAAAATCTCTAAGACTAGAGCTAGTACAACCACGTTTTTCTACTGCCTTAATGAACAATTTCATTATTCTGGATTTCAAGAGTTTTTTTTTTTGTTTTTTACATCATGGAAGTACTGCATGAAGCTTTCTTCAGAGATTTGGATGTATTCTTTTTATAGCTATTATTTTATAGTTTTAAGTGATGCTGGGCTTGACACTGAAAGCACAGGCAAAGTTCTTGTCCTGGAGAACAAACAATGTAAAGATCTAAGGAAGACAGATGTAGGAGACCAGGAGAACAAAAATCCTGATGACAGAGTGTGTTCACTGTTAGAGAGGTGTTGTCACCTTTGTGGGAAAAGGCCTCAAGTTGCACTAGGGGAGGTTTAGTTTGGATATTGGGAAAAATTTCTTCACCAAAAGAGTTATCAAGCATTGGAAGAGGCTGCCCGGGGAAGTGCTGGAGTCACCATCCTGGAGGTATTTAAAAGATGTGTAGACATGGCACTTAGGGACATGGTTTAGTGGTGGTCTTGGTAAGTTAAGGGTTAGACTTGATGATCTTAAGGGTCTTTTCCAACCTAAAAATAGGTTTGTAGATTGGGCAGCCAAAGTGGGTTTGCAGGAGAGGAGGTAAGGACGAGAGAGGAAGCCTGTTAGGGTCAGATACGTAGGTTGCTGCAAGGCTGGTTTTGCAGTGAGCTCTGAATTTAGTTTGCAAAGGGCTTTATTTCCATAACCAGGAACAATTCAACATGTGAAAATATCATTCTGATTTTTTCATTGTTGTTGTTTTGCAGGTCAATAGCTTTGACATAAGCAACGTGTCTCACAACCACGCTCGAGCTGTGCTGTCCCAGCCTTGCTCGGTGCTGCACCTCACCGTGCTGAGGGAGAGGCGGTTCGGCAGCCGCACACACAACCACGCCGACACCACCTGCTCCGTGCGGGAAGACAGCTTTCAAGTGACATTGCATAAACGCGACTCCAGCGAGCAGCTTGGCATTAAACTTGTACGCAGAACAGATGAGCCAGGAGTTTTTATTCTCGACCTTTTGGAAGGGGGTTTGGCTGCTCAAGATGGCAGGCTCTGCAGCAACGACCGCGTGCTTGCAATTAACGGACATGACCTGAAGCACGGGACACCTGAGCTTGCTGCTCAGGTTATACAGGTAATTTGCATTTCCTACCTGAGTCCTTAGCACAGCTTTATTTCTTGAGCAAAGCCTGGGGTAGAGTTTGTCTCAGACAGAACAGCTTATGTTATGCCTGAAAGCCTGCAGCAATGCAATTTGCTGTGATTTATGTTCTGGAGGTAATAGTACAAAACAGGGTCCACTTTGGCACCTGGCAGATGAACTTCACCTTCTTAGAAGTGAGAAGTGTATTAATCTTCCCTGGCATACATCCTGAAGGTTAGAAGACTGCTTATGTGAGCCTATTGCTTATCAGAAAAAAAAAAAGAGGGTTATTATTATATTTATGTATGTACTGTAGTTGTAATCTCTCAGTAAGCTCTATAAAAGAGGGCTTTGTTTTGTATTGATTTGCCTGTCCATGGAATTGGGGTTAAAACAGGAAGATGATTTGTCAGACTTTGTAGAGGCAACAGGTAGCAGCTGGGAAGGAAAAAACAGGTCTTCCATGAGTCCCATGCAGTAAAACTCATTTTCTGAGTGTTCAGGAAAGGGCTATTCCCAATGTCTGGCCCTGCTCTGGACACAAATATTACCCAAAGCTTGATGCAGTGTGACATATGACCCTTCCCTGTTCCCGCAGGAAAATCTTTACTCCATGCCTTTCTCCCAGTCTGTAAGGAAACAGCTGCAGCACATTTCTG